CTTGAGCCACATCCCCAGCCCTGCATTAGTTTTTATAGCCACCAATCTACCAATTGCAGTCCATCCTTAATTTTTCATTATGGGTATTGCAGGCAGGGTGGTGATGGTAGTAGCAAACCTGTTTTAACTTGTCCTGAAGAGGGAGCTGATGTGGAGAAACCAGCACTTGCTAAGTCCTGAGTCTGAGCTTTCACAAACCAGGGCATGATCCTGAGCAAGTCATTGCATATCCCTGGGCCTCTGTTTCCCCATACTTACTCTAGACATCTCCATGCCTACCAGGGTTATTTTCCTATACATTGGCTTCAAACCCCTGTATTTCTTATTTTTTACATCTTTACTTTGAAATCCACAGAAAAATGACGTAAGAGAAAATAGTGACTTTCTTCTCATGTGCCTTTTAGTGAGGGCATGTGGGTTTTTTACTCATAGGAAAAAAGTTAATAGCTTATATACTAAGTTTTTAAACTTTAAATCCCTGAAATACACTTTCTTCTCAAATTTTTAGCTTTGCCGTTTCAGGATGACACAGAAGGTCTGTGATGTCCAACCAGATTCCTTAATCAGTTTTCTGCATGCATACTTTGTGCTGTTGTAAATTTAAATACAATTGTAAGATTGTTTTTGAACTAACTGTGAAACCTGAGAGTCTATATTTTCCATCTTATTTCTGCTATTCATCATCTTTGATTATAATGCCAACCAAAAGCAAAGCTTTTCAACTAGAATTCAAGCCCCATGACATTGGTCTAAAGGATTAATTAGAAAGGAGGGAGAAAGTTTCTCAGTCCAACTCTCTATCATTCTGGGACTTGCCAAGCCATGTAACTGTCTGTCATTTGCAATTCTAATGATAAGTATTGCGGTATGAACAAGGCAATTTCAGCAAAAAGTCAATGTTCAAAAACTTCTAAAATAAAGATTTTGGTGCATTGGCACACGCCTGTAATCCCAGCAACTCAGGAGGCTGAGGCAGGAGGATCACAAGTTCAAAGCCAATTTCAGCAACTTAGCAAGATCCTGTCTCAAATAAAAAGATTTTTTAAAAAGGCTAGAGATGTGACTGAGTAGTAGAGCACCCCTAGGTTCAAAAAATAAAGATTTCAAAAACCCAAGCTATTTTTGGATGGCATTTTTTTTCCCCATAGTAGCTGATTCTCTTGAACCATACCTTCATTTATGTACAGTTCTTTCATTGCTTTATAAAATGTCTATGAATCTGGTGTTCTGCTTTTGATTGGAATTATTATGGATGATGAACTGAAGAGAAACCAGAAGGAAAAGATAGAGTGCATTCAAGGTTTCATATTGATTTTCAGCTGTCTTAGAAATACGTTTTTATTTAAATTTATAGCTGGACAGAATATACAAGTAAATTGCATATAGAAACTATAGTTGATTGTCTTGAAAAGTATGAAGAGAAAGGAGAGAATAAAGGTCATGTTAATAAAGAATTTAGAAAAACTTAGAACCATGAAGAGACCCAAGAGTAATTGAGAACGATGTGGGAAGAAGTTGGCTCAAATATTTTGATAATCTTGGAAAAAAAGAGTTAAGTCTCATAAGGAAAATAAGTCTCTGAAAGATATTATATACTTCATAAGAAATGTTAAATATTTTTTAAATGGAAACAATGTTATTACAAAGTTGAGTAAAGAGAAGACAGTAATTTATCTTTGGTGAAATTTTTACAAGCAATAAGGATAACAAAGATTAGTAGTGGTGCTGTTTATGTACCAGACGGAGATGTTTCAAAGATCACAAGGTGTTTCAAACTGATTTTAATTTCTGAAAGTGACATCAGAAGCTTTCTAACAGAATAAGAAATTATGGGAAAACAGGAGGAAACAGGCAAGGAAGATTTTCCTGGTTAAAAGTGACTTCATCTTGGAGTCAGCATGCTTTTGAAAATAGGAACTACCTAGGTAAGAAAAGGGACATGATCCTTAAAACTGAATAAATATTTTTTTTAATTACCCCAAAGTAATGAGAGCACTGTAGTACTCAAAGAAAGAACAGCAGTGATTGTTTCATTCTGGTCATTGAAAACTTGGTAACAGGTGAGCTTGCATGTGCCCTAAATATGTAAAGAACACCAAACTTACAAGGATAGAAGGAGACAAGTAGGAGATGATGACCCACAGTGGGAAAACGGGCAACAGTCAGAACTCAGCAGTGTGAAGGTCAGAAAAGCAGGAAGATGACCCTAAGCCAGCTGCTGCAGCATCTGACTTTTAACCAGAAAGGATTTTATAATAAAGACATGCATGGTAATTGCCACATATGAACTTCTAGGGGTGAAATCAGTGTCAGCAGCACCTTTTTCATGAATTACTAATAGAATTGCTGCTGGAAATGCCTAGTTACCATAATCCTTTGTCATGTGTCAAATAATGGAAAACAATGCCTGAATAATATTGCATATAATCTTATACCTTCCACTTAACCATCTTTGCTTGCCTTCAAATTATTATAGATGTTGCGGAGTGAATGACTACTTTCTACAGTTTATTTATTTTTTTAAATATACCTACCTGGCATCATATCAAAGAAACAAAATTTTTTATATTTCTCAGACTTGGAGCCTTGGATTTTGATCAGATAAAGGAGGAAGTAATATAATAAGCTGTATTTTTATACTTTTCCTTCTCATGGCTGTTTTCCTCTGAATACTGAAATTTTTCTTAAAAAATACCTTTTGCAGGCAGACAGAGTATACCTGTTTAGAAAATGTAATCCTGCTGAGGAGACGGTTCCTTGTCAGTTTGCAGTTTTTGCTGTTTTCTTTTTAGATTGCAGACCCAGTGGCCTCTGTCTAGACTGCTGGCTCGTCCTTTCACCTGAATTATTTATACAATAGGCTCTGAACACTCCCTGAGGGTTGGAGCCAATTCTTTTTGAAATATTTCACCGAAGATATTGTGACTGACACTATTTTTCTGAAGTTTTTTATTTTTGTGACAGAGGCTGAGCAGCTTTGTATGTTTGCTTATCAATTTTCTTTGAGTATTCTGACATCAGTATTTCTTAGAAAGAGAAAAATATACCAAGAAAAACATCTGTGTGCTTTAATGATGTCTTAAAATCTTGATATTTTTAAATGAATTAAAAGCTCCATTTGTAGAATTTTAAAGAAAACTTCATAAACAATTTCCAATTAACATAATACTAGAATGTAATCTCTTCCTCATCAGTACTAGTAATCTATCTAGACATGTAGAAATATAATTTAGGCATTAGTTCTATTTTCTTGAATGTTTGCTTTTATAAATGAGAAAGGCCTTTGACTAGATTCACCCAAATCCAGCACTCTTGTTGATTTTTAAGAGTACACATGGCTATTGTAGATGGCCACTTCCTTGCTTGCCTTCCCCAGTGGCATGAATTTAAGCCTCTGGGAAGTAAAGTGCCCTTCTAGGGTTAGAGTTGATGTTGATGTCTGGATGAAGAAAGTCAAAAGTTCATCCCTGCCAGGAGACTTGCTAGGACCCACAGCCACATAAAGTCACCTGCTTCTGATTGGCATATTATCCACATCCAGTGCCTTATGATAGGAACTCAGTACACCTTTGTGAGTGAATAGATGGATTTATGAAGTATATAATTTTGGAATAGCAGGTTTACCATTTGGGGTAAAGATCTGAAGATGGAAGGAGCAAGTCATGTAGGGGCTAGAGTGCCAGAGAATCTGCATGAAGAAGCCTTATAAGATAACATTAGGATTTGTTAATACAGGGCCTTCTTTGCCAGACTTTGGAATGTGTAGTTGATTTTAAAAATGCTACAGGAGCCAGGGGTTGGTGGTATACATGCCTGTAGTAATCCCAACCACTCTGGAGACTTGAGTCAGAGGATCACAAGTTTCAGGCCAATTTGGGCAACTTAGTGAGACCCTTTCTAGGGGAGGAGGGGAAAAACTAGGGGGTGGGGAGCAGCAGCCAGTAATGTCTGATTTATGGATCACAGCCACAGAGCTCCATATAGCAGTAGTTTGGAGGAAAGAGGGTACTAAGGACAGGAGAACCAGTAAGTACCTCTTTGGAGTATTTGAGGCACATGAATTTCCTGAACCCTAATAAGACATTCCACCCCTCACACACAACATTTGAATCTATTTAAGATGGCTTTTCTTTTTAAATGTGTACATTAGATTCTGCTTCGTGAAGGCTGCAAGAAGATTCTCGTAGCCGACTCCTTGTCCTTACTGAAGAAAATGCACCGAACTCAAATGAAAGGTGTTCTGGTTGATGGTGGGTAAAGTTGAAACAATCATATGGAACTGTATGCCCGGCTTTTGGAAGCCCAGCAGAGATAAACAGTGCATAATCCAAATTCTGTGTTTTTTTTTACAGAGGAGAATATCTGTGAGTCGTGTCTTTCCCCCATCCTTCCTACTGGTAAGGTGGTTGGGAGGGAAGACAAATTTCCCAAATGTGTATTAATGATAAATGGAATTAAAATGTTGAAGTTAGGTAATTGCTGTTTATAAAATTATATGACTCATAATAATCCAGTTTAGGAAAGCATTTTAGCCCACAGCCCAACTTAGTTGAATGCTGGTGTTGCCATCTGTACAGTTAATGTTCCTGAGTTCTAGGGTACACCAGCATCAATCAGCTGGCAGCCTGGGGAGAACCCACAGTGCCAGCCTAGGGGCTGAGAACGTTCTGACAAGCTCCCAGGTAATATCAGTGCGGCTGATTGAGGGGCTCTTCTTTGAGAACTACTGTTCTAGAGTTAAATCAGACCAAATTAAAAATCCATATTTTAAATTCCAAGAATTTAAAATGGTGGAAGAACCATGTATCTCTGCAAACAATTTATAGGTAGATTTCCCTTAGTTTTTTTCTTTGATGTGTATCTCCAAGTTATTTCACATTTCAGTGGAAACATAATATCTGATTGGAACTGTGACTTTTTAAAAAGGTATAAGCTTTTGCTTATTTCCTTTTCTTGGTTTTGTATATATTTAGGTTTCTATTACATATCTTCATGTATAATAAGAAACCCCTTACTTAAGGATCATTACGACTTGAGAAAAGGAAAATCACTTTATTTGAAGGTAGAAATTCAAGCATGGTTGTCAGGATTCTAAAAAATACTTCATGGAAATGTCCTAAAGATGTAGTTGACCTCACATTTACTTAGCATTAAGGGATTATTTAACAGAGCAGTAGCATGAGAAGTCAATTTACCTAGGTTCTTTTTTAGAGGAAGCAGGTTTGGATTTTTAAATGCTTCTGCTAAAACTTGCAATGGGCTTAGGGGAAGAAGTGAGCTTTGATAGTGTTTTAGGCACCATTTCAACAAAGCAGCCTCAACACCCCATACTGTACAGTTCAATTCCCGATTCCATCTGCTAAGGGCTGTAAATCTTACTAGAAACAAGACGGCCACACTGAGCAGGAACAGGAGAATGGATGTGCCCAAAAAGGAGTGCAGTAAAACCCAGGGTCACAGTCATGGGATGTTCTAACCCAGTCTGCCTCTGACACTGGGGAGGGATCTTGGCCACAGGTCAACTAGGAAAGCATTTCAGTAAAATCACAAACCTGACTTCAGTGTGTGGCGCACCAAATTATGCAGGTGTTGGAATGCTGGGAGGGTTTGGGCACACACAGGCACAAAGACGTGCTGATTCTAGTTTTTATAATAAATATTGCTGCATTTGCTATGAAATTGTTCCATTTATAGTTTTGGTATCTGATACAGAAGCCAAGCAAGTAACCATGAATCACATAGCAGCATGATTATAATTCATGCATTGCATTGGGGCACACCACTCCTCAGGAACACTTTGTCAATAAGCCATCCTCCAGAGGCAGTCTGTTGATGAAAAACTACAGCTGAACTTATAGTAAGGCTTGGTTTAATAATTTCCTGGTCTGTTTGTTGCACCGAATTGTTTCTTCTGCCCCAGATGCAGCAAAGCCCTTCAGTGTGGTAGTCTTCCATTGCCGGCACATGTTCCACAAAGAGTGCTTGCCTGTCCCTAGCATGGTGAGTGGCAGCTCGGCAACTATTCTCTAAAGAGCTATTGATGGGATCAGGGGATGTGCTCAGAATCACAACCTGTCATCCTGATGGCTCTGTTGGTTTTTTAAAATCATAATACAGAGTCAGGCCTGTGTATACATGGGTTCTGCATTCATGGATTCAACTAACCGCAGATCAGAAATATTTGGCGGTGAGGGGGGGGGCTATCGGGTCGGTAACTGCACCCATGCCAAAGGTGTGCAGATTTTATGGTCATTATTCCTTGAACACCACACTGGAATAACCATTTATATATCATTTACATGTTATATAAATAACATTAGATATTATAAGTAATCTACATTAAGTCATATGCAAGTACTGTGCTATTTTACATGAGGGGCTTGAGCATGTGTGTAGGATTTGGTGTCTGAATGGGATTCTAGAACCAAACTCTCAGATACCAGGGGACATAAATTATCTATTTTTTAAATGTATAGAAGATTGCAGTAAACATTATAAAAGCATCCCTAATTAATACATTCAGCTAAAATCTGACTGCTGAGTTATAGAGCTGTGCAGTAAAAAATTAAGTATCTCCTAGGACTTTTCTTAGCCCGAGTTGTATGCTGCGATACCATTATCCTTTATCACATCATGTCCCCCAGGCCACCTTATACCCCACATTCTGCTGTGGGATAACAGGGTGAATCCTATGTAAACCAGAAATAATCTCCAGAGAAAGAAGTGACATTTCATCTCTTCCTGTCTATCTCCTACTAATGCTACTATAATATTTTTTGAACATGAAAGTCTAGAGAAGATTTTTTAATCTGCTTTTTAATTATATTTTTAGAACTCTCCTACACAATACTGCAACATCTGCAGCGCAAAGAACCGTGGACCAGGAAGTGCAATTTTGGAGATGAAAAAATAGCACAGCTCTGCTTGTCAGTCTCTTCTTGCTGCTCTTTTTAATACTGTTCTTGAAACAAGTGTGTGTTAGCACCAGTGATGATGAGATTTATTTATGTGTATAACAGTTTCTACATCCATGCCCGTCTTCTAGAGATTTTTCTTTGTAGTTGATAAAGAAGTTGGGTTCATAGTCATTATTTCGTCATTTGTTTGGCTCATTGTTTAACAATGAAAATGTAAGTCTCAAAGGTAGAAATGAATGTTTTAGAACGTAGTAATACTGTTCAACCATAAAGTGGACTACTGAGAATTGCCCCAGCTATCAGAGAACATTGTCAACTGTGATTATCCAGCAAACTCCTACCCACAACTTGGACCTCGTTTCCACATGCTTTGCTGGCAACAGTTACTGCATTCTAGGGTTGGCTTTCTTTATGTCATCAACTGTAGTTATTGTCCTAATAAGCGTTTAATGAAACATTGTGCAAACTGTCATTCATTCATTGACATCTGGGAATATCATCAGCAGGCTAATGTCCTGCAGCTTTATGTTAACTAATCACATGTTCTGTGTGTTCTTACAACTATTAGAGTATCTGGCTCTTTCAGTCACTCAGCATTTGTTGACTGAATAAATGTTACGTGTTTTTCATTGTGAAAGACTCATTTTTACTGGATTGAACTGCAATTGAGAAGTCAAGCACCTTGGTAAAGAACAGAAGAGAGGTTCAGCATCTTATTATCTGAGGGATTGTGATTAGTTTTTTCTAGTAGGGAGGAAAGGAGTGACCCTGTCCAAACCAGGGAAGGAGTCTCAGGAGAAATAGTATTGGTCTAATACCAGAGGATGGGCATAATTATGATATTCCTTTTCAAAGCCTTCCATGGATCCTCCTCAAAGAACAAAGAATATAATGGAGAGAATTCAAACTTGTCATTGTGTGTTATAGTTATTGTCTTGTTATATGGATACATCTGCTTTCATCATTTTGGTGGTAAGATGGGTACTGATGGATACTGATCATCTGCAGACATCCAAACTTTACCTGGCCATTATCATGAGTGATATCTTGCCCACTTCTCATGGCATCTCCAGGAGGAAGACATGGCATCTCCAGGTTACAGGAGAAAACCAGAACACAGATGTTGCCAAGGTTGCAGCAGACTCCCTGATTTCAGACAGGCCTCCCCATCCCTTCAAGAAATCCTAGGCCAGGTTCTGAGAACACAGTGCAACTCTTCATTGCTGGACTTAAAATCCCCTTGTAGACGGCAAATTTATTTGTTAGTCATAAATATTTAGAATTGTTAAGTTTGTTGTTTTTGAATGTATCTCTCAGCCTTCTTAGTATTATACCGTATTTCAAATCTAGCATTCTTTCTGCTACACTGTGAGTTTCCAGTGTTTGTTTTTACCAGAGAAACCCATCCTTTACAAAACAAAAAACCTATAAGCCTAATTTATTGTTTTCAAATTACTTATTTAATGTAAAGATTTAGCATGTTAAATTTTTATTAACCCCTTATTTATGATTTCAGCAGGCTCATTCCAGCAAAGTTCTATAACAAAACCATCAACAGGATTTGTTGATTTCAATAAATCATTTTGCTTCTGGGGAAAATTGTACTAATTAGTAACTCCATTTGAACATGAAACTGTAGGTACAAAAAAAGGAGATAATTACCAAACTGTTTATTTTGAATAACTGATTAAAGAGGAAAATAATAAAATATGTTCATTCAGAAATAACTGAAACATCAGAAAATTCCAAAACAAAATAGGTTTTATTGTTAATTGCACTAACTCCTCCTCCTTGGAATCACTTTCCATATGAAAAAGAAATTATGCCCTATGGTTATACTAAAGGACATCCGAACCTTACTTTTAATCATTTAAATACAGCAAAATAATCAGAATGCTAGTCAATTAACTTTTTTCATGCATGAGTAGCCCAATTTAAAATGGATTTAATGCAAAAGCGAACCTTGATGAGAAATGCTGTGCAGGGTGTGCATTTTGGATCTTCTCCTTAAAGAAAGCTGTTCTGAGTGTGAAACTGCCAATTTCAAAGTTATTTTGTGATATCTTTATTTTGCTTTTGTTTTTAACCAGAATTGTCAGTTAGTTGATGTTCATCCTTGAAATTCTCAGTAAATTTTTAGTTAATTTGGTCATTTTTAATAGTGTTAAGCAGAATATTTTGATATAAAGACAAATATTGATTGAATATGTGCCAGGCACTGTTAAAAGCACTTTGCAGGGGCTGGGTTGTGGCTCAGTGGTAGAGTGCTCGCCTAGCACGTGCAGGGCGCTGGGTTTGATCCTCTGCACCACATAAAAATAAAGAATTAAAATAATGGTACTGTGTCCGACTACACCTAAAAAAAAATTACAAAAAAAGCACTATGCATATGTCATTTTGTTTAAAACATTCTGAGACCCTCTGAGGTAAGGGTTCTATCACTGTTGTTTTACCTATTAGAAAACTAAGCCCAGGAAGGTGAAACAACTTGTTCAGATTGAATAGCTGGTTGCAGCTGGGATCCAGGCAGCTTGCCCTTGTGGTGCCTGACCTTAACCAGCCACTGCATAGTTGACCCCCAGTTGGTTGGTTGGTTTATATTTTTTTGTTGTTTTTTAAATACTCATTTGACCTGTTTTGATCATTGTATAGAAAGTAAAACTTACCATACTATAAAGAGTGACTGATTATGAAGTGTCCAATGGCTTACAGAAGCATTGATGGGGCTAAAGAAACAAACTAGGAAAGATTTCATAAAGATGCAACCAAGCCACCTCGAAGAACTGGACTTTCCAGAGTCCGGTGTCTCATCTCTATTGCAGAGTTGCACCCAGCAGGGTAAATCTTCCTTGTGAAGTAAACACTGTAAATAAAAATACACTCACTTCTCAGTTTCTTCTGAAGCTCTATCTCAGTAACATTAAAGGATATTATGTATATAGCTAGGTGTGGGGAGATTTCTTTTTTTTTTTTTTTTTGGTATTGGGATTGAACTTTCGGATACTCGACCATTGAGCCACATCCCCAGCCCTGTTTTGTATTTTATTTAGAGACCGGGTCTCATTGAGTTGCTTAGTGCCTTGCTGTTGCTGAGGCTGGCTTTGAACTCACAGTCCTGTCTCAGCTTCCCGAGCTGCTGGGATTACAGGCATGTGCCACTTTGTGAGAGACATTTCTGTAAGAGTCTGTTCTAGTTTCTATGATCAACTCTCACACTATTAAAATTCCCAGGAATTTTGATACTAAACTGTAACTTTCACTTCTGATCCTTGAACTGTTAAGCAAAATGCCAAGTTACCAAATCTGGATTAAAGTCCTTTCTCTTTTCTCATGCATTGTAAGTCTGGGAGTGAGTAGGAGTGATGTAATATTAGGAAGAGTAACAGGAAAGAAAAGGAACCTAAAAGAGCAGGTCTCCCAGAATTAGCCATCACTCAGGCTCTCCTTCATGTTCACCCAGATGGAAGTTGTGAAATTAAAATATTGTCACTGCATTGAGGTAGTAAACCATGAAGGTTACTGCCACTTCCATGGAATGGATCTTGTTCATCTCTATCTGTAGCCCGTGGTAGAATGACTCAAAAGACTTGGAATCTTTGTTGAATGAAGGGAAGCTTAGTATTTACCTGATGGATAGATATTGATGTATGTAAATAGGTGTATATATTTTTATATATAACATTCTATAACATGAATGATGTAACGTCATTGTGGCCCTCTTGGTAGATGTTCTCATCTGCAGTCATTTCTATCTCCCTGTTCTATTCCTCCCTTTTGAATCTCACTGCCCATAACAAAAAGGTCTTACATGCTTTCATTTGTAATGGCACAATTTATTCGCACGCTCAACTCATCCAGAACCACCCCATCTGTCAGTGAATGATCCTTTCAAGATCCCAAGTATTGGACTGGGGCTGTAGCTCCGTGGTAGAGCATTTGCCTAGCATGTGTGAGGCACTAGGTTCTATCCTCAGCACCATAAAAAATAAA